CAGCTCTACCAGGTGAGCTACAGGGTGCCCCTGTATAAAAAAATAATATTTCAGTTCAGAGTGACACTAACCTTGGTAACCATGACCACCACAAAGTTCTTCTCGTCAATTTTGTATTCTTTCAGCCGGGTGTCATCATTTAAGATTTTGCCTGTGACATTCGAACAGAAACAGTAAATGAGAACAAATATGACAATATGACACACACTCTTAAGTTTAGGTGCCAAACCTTGGACTAATCATATCCTCCTACTCTAGAATTCTTCCTGTGGCTTCAGTCAGTATGTTCCATGTGGTTTTAAGTAAGCAATTAAGCCTGTGGTGTCCTAAGATAAGAAAATATTCGAAGAGGTGGGGGCCACAGAGTGAAGCGGAGTATTCTTATCTATTCTTTTCTAAATGTGGAACACCTCGGAAAGCAATTTAGTTCTTAGCCGCTCACTAAAGGAATAAACAGCTTCAAAACTGTTTAAATAAACATCCATTATAAACTGCGGTTGGTTTAGCCATTTTAACCCATAGTTAGTTTCACAGCCAAGTTACCTGGGGCATATATATCTTAAGCAATTATTTTGAAAGGTGAGTAAGCAGTTGACTGAAACAATGCCAGTTGAGCTGTCCCTATAAACACCTGGCAATTAAACCCACCAAGAGGCCTTGGTATATTACGACATTTCACTGCAACTCTGTCACTCATCCTCTGGCTCACCTGCATAAATGAGTTTCTGTCCGGCAGCAGGAAATGCATCTTTTCCTCTGTCTTCCTCTATTTTCTCCTTCAGGGCTTGCACCTGACAACGACAGATGAAACACTGATATTACTGGGAGAGCTACTGAAACAACTCCAAATGTCACACTGCATCACTGATAATTGCAGAGGGTCAGCAGAAGGCTTGATAGTAGTTGCGGGAAATTTCATACCATCATGTCTCCCTGTTCAAAGGTTGATGTTCTCCAGAGAATACGTGTTCTGACCAAAACCTGTATTAAGCCAGGGTTACCGGGGTTTCTGTCTAGACTGTCTAATCAATAATATAAGAAGATGGCTACAGCTGTTGGCAACAAGCTTCTGTTAATAGAAGCTTAATGTCGCTCCACCCATTCATGACTGGTTATCAGCTCTGTTGACTTGTCATTTACATTAATATAAGCTCTCTATTGTGTGCTAGGCACAGCTTATTGCAATATAAAAGTACATTCTACAGATGCCCATTTTGTAAAGATGTATACTCCAGTGAGGTGCAAATGTTGTCACTAACCATACTCTAACTTAACTGATATCTGGCATCAAATATTCAGCACACTATGGACCTTTTTTGCATGGACCTTAAACCTGAATCCCTCACAGCTCTATTTGGAGCCACTTGTGACTACGGCTGTGTATTGGCAAGAATCTGGCAATATGATAAGTATCACGATAAGTAATATAGTAGTAGTAGTAGTATAAAGAACACACTACCATATGCATAAAATCATTTTTATGTAACCAGAACAGTGGGATCTGCAATTGTATGTACGGTATCCCCGTAACATCCAACATCATACCCCTCAGTTAACGTTAACAACACTGCAGTCTAACGGTTGTGGTTTAAACACAAATATTAATAGTGTTTTTGAGAATCCATACAATATCACAGAACAAAATATCATCATATGATATTTTTCAATATTTTCTTACATCCCTACTTGTGAACCATTTTCCACTGATAAAATGGCGTGTTCTGGCCTTTTTTAACTCTATTAGTTAGACGTCTCATTTTATTGAGGTTGAAGCACACTCTTCCCCCCCCCTCACACAATAGCTGGCGATCCTGTACCACATCAAACTGGAAAAGATTAGATTTTCAAATAGTGTCTGATGAATATTTATTTTATTTTATTTATTTATAATATTTCCCTTTTTACTTAATGTTATTCCAGGGTCGGTGCGAGCAACATGGGAATGTGGGTGGGAGGGGATAGCTGTGGATTCATGAATGTGGGGTTTGGTTGGAGTTGATAGAAAAAAAAGGTGGGTTTGTGTTCTTGTTCTGGTTCATTTGTTCTGTCTGTCAAATCAGAGTCCATTCTGAAATTCTAGATGATGTCACCATTTACTGTCCACAGTACTGGTGTGAAATCAATAAAAATATTTGGGAAGAAGAATATAAGCTCTCTGGGGAATTATAATGACTAGTGCTCTCAATATGATATGTATCACGATACAGAGGTTACTATTCAATATATGATGATATATTGCTATACTGTAAGCAAGGTGTATTGCGTTTATTTTGAAATCTAATTTTACGAATACTGTCAAAGTATAAAAACCCACCACCATATACATAAAATCAGAGTAAAAAAGTTTACTTTTTAGGCAACCAAAACAGTGGGATCTACAATTGTATTTATCACAGTCCCTGAAACATCCAGTATCATCGCCTTCAGTTTACAACACTGTTATCTTGCTGTTGGGGGTTTAAACACTAAAATAAATACAGTCTTTTTTGAGAAACAAAATATTGCGATACTCAAGTGTATCCATATTTTCTTACACCCCACATAATGGCGTATGAGTGTCTAATGAGTGGTTTGTCTGAACATGATTTTTTTCAGTGTACATTTGACATTAATTGTAAGAATGCTCGATAATTATTAGGACATATAAATTATTGGCCAATAATTGGAAATATATATCATTATAGCTATAGTTTTTTAAGGAACTTTACTAAGAGTCAGGTAAGAACACTTATGTCTTAGCCTTTCTTTCCCTCAGGTGTGTAAAAACTAAAAGGTTATGAACTTATTTTCAAAATACATAAATGTGAAATTATTGGTTATATTATTAGTATGGCCATGAGAAGCAGGTCATTGCATCGGCTGGAAAAAAATCCATATTGTGCATTCCTAATTGACTGTCTGACGCATTTAGACTGAGCTTTTATCACCTTATGTGCATTTATTTCTCTACATTGTTTTTTCTTTGCTGTTTGTATTTGAATATCGATCGTTGTGTTTACTGTTCTGTTTAACTGTGTGCGCTCGTGTTTTAAATTTGGCTATATCAGCTAAGATTCAACTTTCTTTTATTCTGAGAAAGTACCAGGACAACAAAATACAGTTTAGTATCTAACCAAATAGTAAGAACAAAATAAACAATAGACAAAAGGAGCAGTGACACAAAGAAGGGATGTGATTGTGATATATACGTCATAAAAGATATAAAAAATACAGTCATTAAAAGATCTCATTCAACAAAAAATGTTATCCTAACTTACAGCAGCTTAATGCTAAGTACTGTGGTGTATAGTGCTAATGATAACACACAGGAAACATAATTAGTTCAACACACCTAATATAAGATACTGCGTGTTACTATGACAAGAAAACTCCAAAAGGCTATATTCTTTTCTCTAACAAAGATTTACTTATCAGTCTTTCCACTACTACATTAACAAATGGGAGGTTTCAAATATTGCATCGTCATTCATGGTAAGACACTAAAACAAATCAAACACTGTCAAGCTAAAAGAATGTACAAACAATATTCCGGTCGGTCTCAAAATAAACTGCCTCCCGTCCACTCTTTTTCGATTAATATCCTGATGAAGAAGCAAAGTCAGCCACTTGAAAAATCGTCTACTGTGTTATTTAGCAAATACAAACACATTTTGGTTACAATATTCTTTACACAGGTCATGTTTGAAATACGTGTGGAGCTTTTATCTTGAAGGTAAACATGCTCAGTTCCGGTCTTACACGCGCTACCTCTAGCTACATTACCTCACGTGAACTCAGTTACTGTAAGATCCTGCAGAATTGCTAACTTGTCTGGCCGCATAGTTGTCACACTAACCTTACATTACTTTTTCAAATAAGCAGAATAAGTAGCCCGTTTCCTTCGTTGAGTTAAACAGCTGTTATCGCGGCCATGTCTAAACATTAGCTAACATTCCTGTATGCTACAGTCTATTTGCCAGCCCTCCCGGCCTGACCGTGTTTACTTCAGCCCCGTTAACTTCTACTCACCGTCAATTCTGGGTCTATTTCTATTTTGAACGTTTGTTGTTGGAGGGTCTTCAGCGTTATCGTCAGCATCTTTCGACGCGGAGTCAGAGACGGTTTGGCTAAAAAAAAAAAACGGTGTATTCACGGCAATGTCTTGACTGTAGTCGCTCTTTTTTTAACACAGTATCTATTTATCTGGATCTAAATGTATGTGTGACTCAGCTGTCTCGGTGCCGCGGAGCAGGCTGGGCATGGGCGCCATCTACTGCCGGAGGAAAGGTACAGCACGCTGCCGTCTTCACGTGCTGTCGGAAATATCCCAACTATAAAACAGTGTCATCTTCTCTTAATATCGTTCATTTGACTCCGTAATGGCCCCAAGAATGCCTTCATACGACTACAGATATGGCCAGTCTCTTAAAAAATAAGAAATCCTGCACCTTTATTGGATATTTTTATTTCTTCAAGCATTTAAAAATGTACAAAAAAACATCTGTAAAAATATTCAGCCTATGATGAGGGGGGTCACTTTTGAAAGCGTGTGTCCGTTACAGGTCCCCTCTTGGACATGTATTAACAAGCATGCAACAAGGATAAAAAAGGAAATCTGCATCGGTTTAATGGTAGTCGTTACAGCATGATCAATACACATTTTTTCCCCAAAACACAAAAGCCAGTCTGAAAAAATCAATAGTTAATAATATTAAAGTTTAAAATATATTTTGATATAGGATTTTATAAGACCCCGTGGACATTAAAGCCCGACAGATATGTAATTTTTGAGACTGATACCGATTTTAGAGGGAAACATTCCCAGATAACCAATAGGTTATGTTATGTTACGATATAGTGAATGTTTGAGCTGGAATGAAAATAAACCTTTTCAATGTGAATTGTGCACTGATATGACTGTTAAGAAACTCAGAAGGCTGCTTTCTTAAACTTTATTAAAGAATATTTTAATTAAAGCTTCAGTAGGTAGTTTTTATTAAAAAAAATTGTCATATTCACTTAATTTTACACTATTACTTTCACAAAAAAAACACCAATCAGAGATATAGTTGATTGTTGAGTTTTTTTCCCAGGCTCACAAATATTGATGCTGGGACTTAAACTCTACTATCAACTTCAAAGCCATCAGCTCAAAGCATATTTCCATTTTTCTTGGCTCCGATTGGTTGTTT